CCCCCCAAGGAGATCAAGCCCTATATCCATAAGCAGTGAGAAGCTACTAAGTGAAATGAAGTTGCCAGATTCTATGTGTAGGACTAGTTGTATATGTTTTCTAACTGGTTGTTGGTCTCATTGTAATGTAACTTATCCATAGGGTTTCTTTGATTCTTAAGTGTTGGGTACCCAACTCACTTATTTTCTAAGCCCAGAAATAATCAGGTCCTTGTGTTCAGTTTTCTAGCAAAGTGTCTCATAGTTGACTTAATTGATTATATGCCTTTCCCCCTAAGCAGCTGGTCACAAAACAGATTCCTTTTAGCTGCTATCCATCATAGTTATTACTTTCTGGTTCTTTTGTATGGCTAAGTCATAAACAAAAGCATTAATTTATTTTTTTTCATCTTAAATTGATCTGTTAGTCTTGGTTCAGTGGTTTAGTCTGTGAAGATCTTTCTGAACCTTCCCTCACCTTTGCCATTTATCTCTGCATTAGTGTTCCACCTGTTTTCCTTCTCAAAATTGATAGTATATGATACATGGTACACTATTTTGCAAAGGACTATAAAATAATTACTATAAGAGAACTACAAATTAGCAAGCATTGTTAAACCTTATTTATTTTTCTGATAAACCCAAATGTCAATACCCTGGAAATGAAAGTAGCACAAAAAGTTCACTGGAAATCATTGCTTAGGAATGGTTGGACACAAAGGTGGGTCACAAGTCATGAAGGTCTGAGATGTTCTCACATGAGGACATTTCTGTGTAAAAGGGAAAAAAACAGGAGGACTCTACATGGATCATTAAGAAAGAATGGAAGGAAGAATGCCTAGAAAACAGAACCACCTACACTTTAAAAAAGCAGGAATAGGAGAGTTTTTTGGAGGCATTTTAACTTCTTCCACAGAGTTGATCTTGTTATTAGAATGACATTGCTTTATGTCTGAATATTCCTTGGAAAGAAGCTTATGTTTTAGGTCCTGTGAAATGAAGGAGAAAGTGCCCTTCACAGAGTAACTAGCATTAGTAAAAGTTAGATGTTGAATAAATCCAAACAGTGGAGGAAATCAAGAAACATTTAAAGACTAAGCTTAGGCACATAGGTGTCCAACAGGAGTCAGCAGGATG